TAAGTTGTAAAACAAAAACTACAGGATGAGCTGACAGATACCGAAGTGCTCTGTAGACCTGAGGGGGGCTTTATTGTCCAGCTCAGGCAGGAAAATTGTCTTTTGGTCTGACCCAGAAAAATAAAAACATAAACATGCCCACGAGTTACATCACACCACGTTAAGAACATCTCACACATCCAAAACCATCTGTTATGTCACAAGTCAAGCTTGTAGGCCCGCCTCCCCCTCACATCGAACTTCCAATGAGCATAGAGAAACTTTCCACTCTCGCTGGGTTAATGTGAAAACAAACTGTGCACAGTGAAGCCCAAACATCCAACCGCAGGAACAAGGAGATCAACACAACCCCCAAGTTGAGTAAATATCTGTGGCTTCATCATAAGTCACCCTTTAATATCTTCACTGATATTATCAGTGTGGTTTGGTGCCATGCAGGGACACTGGCAACAGATATTGTTTGCACTTGATACACTGGCTGGACTTTATCAGTCTATCTATGAGCATTTCGTATTTTACATTGTCTAAATGTTTTGCCTGCATATCTCAAATGAAGATAAACACCAAAAATAAAGTGGATGTGTCTCCTTATGACTTTAACATCAAGCAGTCAGTAGTAGGAGACAGAAATGTTACACCACTGGGCCTGACTGCATGTTCAGACTGTGCTCTCTCCTGTGTGTGTGTGTGTGTGTGTGTGTTTCTGGTGAATATACAGCTATCATCTTAATGTTGTAGAAGTGCAGTCCTAGCAAAATAATTTAAAGATTTTGTATTTCTCAGTTCGAAAGGACTCATTTTACAGTCAACTGTTCGCCATCTAATTACAACTGATAAAAGAGTCAATTATGAGATGAGAGTAAAAAAAAAAAAGCATCTGCCCTCTGCTGCATTATGCAACTGTAAATCTACACTCGCTCTCTCTCTGTGCTGTCGTGGCTCGGCTCGTTCGTGAGCCTGTCTGGTAAACAGGACATCATGAGTTGGAATATGTGGTTTGTGCTGATCTGTCTTGTAATTAGCTAGCTTACTGTACTGTGATGTTTTGACATTAATCTTTGCGACAGTAATTGTAGCCCACTCTTTGTGGACGAGATCTGTTTTTATTATTCAGTTTCAATAGGAGCTAATTGAGAGGCTTATTCCGCTGGGTGTCGTCATGAGATAGGTAGAAAACATTCCTCAGCCTATTAAAGCAAGTATACACAACTTTTGAGGACATAACACATTCATCTTCTTACAAATGAAAAGTTTATTACATGAGCTAAAAAACACTCTGTTGCTCAGTTCAGGATATACTCGGGTTATTTGCTCGTACAACTTTTCTTATGCTGTGCTCTGATAAACTTAACAGATTATCTTCTCTCTAGTCTCCAACATGCACACCCTGCAAGATTTGACAATAATGGTGCATCGCACACCACAGCATGTGCACCGCGTCACATGATCTCATCTCATGTGACCTCACAAGGGAAGCAGATGTGAACAAAATGGAGCCTGTGGTGCTACAACCTGTCACATTAGTAAGACTTTGCAGTGAGAACAAACAAAAGCAGAAGGCTAAACAAGTGTGGGTGAGAAAAAATGATTAACCAACCAAGGTTGTCTAGTCATTTTTAAGATACGCCAAAAGTAGAATGCTAGCTAATGTTAGCCTAAAGCACTAGGCTACTTAATATTGCTTGGCAACACTGTCAGCTGTCATTCCGCTTTTAAATCCCCACATGTTTGACATTTATGTCAGAGCACGTACCATAAATATCATTATCTAACAGGTGGGCCACCTGGGTGCCCCCTTGTTACTTTTTTTGTGTGTCCACTGGAAACACTGCTGTGTTGAGAGTATTTGCAGCATATGTGTTGTCAAATTGATAAAGATGTTTTTCCGAATTTGTTTTGTGTTTTGTCTATTTGCACGTGTTCAAGTTGCAGTACCCTGAGCTCTCAGGGTCACAAAACTTGGCCTGAATGTGTTTTGTTCACTGTACCAACCAAATCACTGAGTCCTCCTAAAGGGAACATGAGGACAGCAACATAAAGCAGGAGATTTATTATTATACAACATTATTGCTGGCCTTTTGATGATAATGATGATGATAATAATAATAATAACAATAATTGCAAAACAAAACACAGTATTAGTTTTGAAATTTTTATTGTAAATGTGTTTTACGTAGTAGAACAAGAGCGAAAAATATAACATTTTTAGCAACTCTTTTTGTGCAGTGTTTACAGAGCACATTTGAAAATGACTTATCACATGTTTCATAATACAATATGCTACACTGCACTTGATGTGCAAATCAGGAAATGCTTTTGCACATATGTATTTTTAAAAATGCTGATCCATGGACATACCACGAAACATTTCATGAGCCCTTTTTTAATAATGTGTCGTGTAAACACTTGACAAAAAAAACAGTTGCTACATTTTTTCACTATATATTTGAATTATCATGTTATGTACATTTTCTTTACATATTTTTTTTTTTAAAAATCTTTCACAATCGCAGAAATCACTAGAAGAATATTTCAGTTCTCCTTTCAGATGCATATACAGTATTTACATACATTCATGGGCTCACGTAGCAAGCCCATTCAGAAAAGTGTTTCTTCTGATTGTATGGAAGGAATGCCTGACAGAGTTAATACGCTTCCTCCATACAGCATCAGGTGCTGTGTACCCAACACTCAAAAGGTTTGTTTCAACATATCAAAACAAAAAAAAAAAAAAAAACTGAATTTCAGTTCAAATTTGAACATAATTTCCTCAATTTGTGAGCTGATCCTCGACCTTATGGAACAGGAAACCATCTCTGAACTCTGTGCAGCAGGCATTTTGTGTCCCTCCCATGACTAGTTTGGTTTAATTCAGCTGAGATGCAGAGTGACACAGAATAAAGTAATCTATACATAAAGATGTAATATGACAGAAAAGCAAAACAGTCACTGTTCCCTTACAGTACAAGACAAAAGGCATATCAGTTTGTGGCAAGATATTTGATATGAAGCCCAAAGACAGATAGTAGTGTTTCCTGGACGCTTTTCAATTTTCAATCAACGTTTGAAGAATATGCAACGAGTCACATCAGGGCAAGGCCAAAGAAAATGAGTGGGATTCATGAAGATGAATTTGTTATTGGCATAGAATTCCAGTCTCAACAAATGGGTAACAAGTACAAACAATTCCAGTTAAATTTGATTTGTAAATTATTCAATTTTTCATCTTATGTAATTCATATGGAAGGAACTGGGAAAAAAAAATAGATTTTTGCTCAAGAACTTCAGCTTCAGTGGGAGCGAACTTTGACCCCTCCTCTAAGACAGGTGCAAAATATTCCATATATCAAAGCTAGTCCATATAACTTTTGAAAGATGACAAATCAATTTCATTCTCTTACAAATAAAACGTTTAATTAAAAAGTAATAAAATACTCCCTTAATAAACTCAGCACAGTGAAGTGCTTTGCTGTTACTGCCTCACTTGGTCTGTCATATTTATATTTGTTAATGTGAGCCTACTTGTTCAACGACTCTTCTCTACTTGGGCTGGTGTGACGTTACGTTTTTAGAATTCCCAATTATCCGGTAAATGACTGTTAATGAGTGGGTGCTGTTCATCACAAGTTACTTAGTCTTACTTTAATGCATTTATTTTACTGGTCTTGGGTGAATTTGTTATCGGATGTTTCAATGAAACATAATTCAGATCTCAACAAAAGGGAAAAGAAGTACAAAAGAAATTCCAGTTAAATTCAATGAATTCATCTGTGTTGAAATAATTTTGTGTAACAAAGAGGGGGAAAAATAAAAAAAAAACTTGATTTGGCAAGAGATGCTCAAGTTAGTGATGCCAAAACTTTTCATGTGTGAATTCACCACCATTTTGTATGATTTGAGCCTGCATGTTTTTGACAGCAGTGACATGAAGTAAGTAAAGTGTCATAAAGTAATACATGAGATGGCATCACATAACAGCACAAAACTAAACAAATGATTTTATCATGATTTTGTAAATACTTGTTTGTGAAATACTCTGTTTTGATCCAAAAAGGCCATAAAAACAACTGTTCTGACAAAAATCTTTTTTTTTTTTAACCATAACACAAAGGCATTATAGAACTTGAGTGCACTTACACAAAATACTCACTATAGGCAGAAACCAGACATTTCATGTGCACTAGTGCAAATCCCATATTGCAATGATCCTTGTTGGTGAGCATGAGCTCTGTTCTTGTGTTTGAGGTTACTACAGTGTGTGTGTTTTTTTTTCCTGTAACGAGACCCAAAGGCAACAAAGAGACTGATTCAAAGCTAAAGGAATGTTGATGCATCATTTACTCTGCCGTCTATCGAGAAAGAATGAAATGCCAATGCTTCCAAATACAATGTCCAGTAAGCGACACATTAAATTCAAGCCAGTAAGCGATGATATTTTTTTTTTCTTTCTTTTCTTTTTTTTTTTTTTTTTTTTTTTTTTTTTTTTTCTAATTACTTTTAAACAACATTTGGCTCCAGGAAGGGAAAAGAAAACTGGGGGTTTTAAATAGTAGCACACCCCCCAGTGTTACAACCTTTGTTGATATAAGGCTTTTGACTCACATTAGCACTAGCACACATCTCAGAGTGTAAAAAAATACTCTGAATAGAAAATCTTTCTTCAAATTAGATTAGCTAAAAAGATCTGAGTGAGACAAATAAATGTTGTAATATACAAGAAGCTTATTCCACCTGTGAGGGTGTTATGTCAAGTAACAGTTTTCTGTTTTAGTTTAGTTTTTACAGTCTTTTCCTCGCCACCCAATAAATTATCACAGTACCATGAATGTACGTCACGCGTACATATTTGAACATAAACGCACACAAGCATAAAGAGTCCTGCACAGAGGTGTTTCAACTTTCACCCTCCTCTTCTTCCTCCTCCTCCTCCTCCTCCTCTTCTGTCTTTCCTCTTACACACACAAACACCATCCCATCCCCCCACCCCCCACCCCCCCTGCTTAGCGTCAGTCGTAAGAGTGAGGTCAGGGGGGTCAGTTTGCAGAGCGTCCTGTCCTGCTGCTTCGTGGAAAGCGGTGGACTTTGAGGTGTTTCGACAGGTGATCGCTGCGGGCAAACTTCTTCTCGCACACGATGCACTGATACGGTTTCACTCCTGAGTGGGAGCGGCGGTGTCGGGACAGCTCGTCGGACCGGGAGAACCTGTGGGAAAGATTTGATCTATTAAATCTTTTGAATTTTGATGAGCATTGCACATCTTTTCACCAATAATGCCACACTCTTTACTTCCAGTTTTTTTTTGTTTAATTCCCTAATCATAATAGTTAGTGATGTAAAACTGAAATTTCACAAAGGAAAAGTTTCTCTGTCTGTTTGGATGCAGGGCTTCCTATAAAAAAAAAATGCTGTGATGCTTCAAGCTGCCAAATAACATAAAAGCTATGTCATGTGGTTTTATATGAGGGTAATCTGAGAGGTGTGACGCTATATGTGTGTTTTGCCCTGCGTCTTCTCTGTGAAGTCAAAGAGCCGTCCCATATTTAGCTCAACACATGAGCACTGCAAATCCCAGCCCGGTCTATTCCTGGCCCCTGCTCCGCTCTGGTCTCTATGGAGCTTCGTCCAGCTTGGATATCATGACAGTGAAGGGTTAAGTGGATGATACAGTAGTGCCTGTTGTACATGTGTGCACCACTTTTTGTGTATATATTAGTTAAGCTGTTAAAATCAGATTAATCTGTAACACAGACTCAGTTCCAGCAGCAGCGGCAGCAGGTTGAAAGCATGAAGGTGATAATTCACAGAGATGTAAAGACGTCACTCACAGTTATGTCAAACCATTTCCACTCTAAGACATGGATTACACAACCCACTATTCATCATTTTAATGGCCCGGTAATAAAACGAAGATAACACATTTTTTATAGCTGAGCTGAACCTCAAAACAAACACACCTACAGATCTTTTTCACCTGCATCTTGACGGTGAACGTTCATTCAGATAATAGTTAAACAGACATAACAGAGAATAACCCGCTTTGATTCTTGTTGCATCCTGATTTAAGCTATATCTGATTTATTTAAATGTGCTCATTCATTCAACTCCTGTGGTTTTTCCTTGAACTTCAACATAACTAATGTGACCTGTTATGTAAAGTACGCTTCAGTCCATTTTCTCAGTTTGACGTGTTCTTTATTCAACAAGAAGCTGCTCCTGTCGGAGCCACTTTGTACCACAGTGAGCACAAAGACAACATGTCAGGCTGCTCCCACAGACTGTGCTGTAAGAGGACGTGGGTAGGGACTGAATTCAGCAACAGTTCACACTGTTTTCATTATTCTGAGAAGAAACAACCATGACTTCATTTAGCATGTATTAAAGACACACAGCAAGTTTGAATATTTTCTTCACACTACAAAACAGAACGATCTCTGGAGAGTTTTCACTATGCATGCTGGGAAGTCTGCTAATATGTTAATGGTGTTTCTTCTTTTTTTGTCATAACTTGATGTCATGAGTCAAGTTTCCAGTCAAAAGACTTCACTTGTTTAAAAGTTCTATTTGAAATTAATAAAAACTTGTTTTATATTACAATTTATTCATGTTTATAAGAACAGATTAATTGATGATAATAAATTTCTGCATGTTTTTCAGTGTAAACCCATGTTGCTAGTATGGCTAAAGAGTCATCATTAACCCAACTGCATGGAGTGCAGCTATGAGTCATACAGTTACACATGTAGTTCTGCAGTATCTGAGCTTCAACCAAATCGTTTCGAAATAAAATAATGGCTACTGGATTAAAGTCCCAGCTTCAAAAGTAACTGGAAACTTGGCTACTAAATGTTTCGTGAGCAGCTGTGTGTTGTTTCAATCTTAGTTCATGCACAAAGGAGCTCACATGTGAGTCAGGGCTCTCTGTCAGTACGAGGAGTAAAGAGGTGACCATGCGGGTGAAGAAGATAATAATGAGGATAAAAGAAAGCAACTATCTATCAGAGAGGTATCACAGAGGGTCGGTTTGTCAAAATCAACAGTTGGGTGTTTCGTAAGAAAAGCTGGAAAGCTAGAAAATGGAATACGAGCTGGTAAACCGAGGAGTACGAGCCTTGTGGATAAGCAGAAAATGATCTGCATTTTGCCTTTATGACTGCACAGCAAGTCGAGAAAGCTCTCCAGGATGTAGGCGTATACTGTATGCTACCTTGTCAATGATCACGAGAAGACATAAACTCAGAGGACTGTAAACCACCTCACTACAGGATGCAAACCACCAGTGAGTCTCAAAAAACAGAGACCAGGCTGCTCCTTTTTGATAAAGCCTATAGGAAGGGCTAGCTCAGGCTTGCCTGAACTAGCTCTTAGTTATGCTGCTATAGGCCTACATTGCTGGGGGACTTCCCATGATGCACCTCTCTCCTCTCTCCTCCTCTCCCTCTCCATCTGTACACATTCATACCCCATATACCCTCCTGTAGTTTTATGCCGCTCTCGCTCTCTGCAGGTATTTCTGCCTCTGGAGCTGCAGAGTCTGGATTGCAGACCACCTACTGATCCTACCCAACACCCACTGCTACAATTATTATTATTATTAGTCTCCTTATTAGTCTTATTATTACTACTAGTTTTATTATCAGTCTTATCTTTGCGTGTGTGCTGAAGCTCAGAATCGGAAGAACGAAAATGTGCAACTGTCCAAATACTTATGGCCTAATGGCCTGGACTGCAGATCACCTCTGTTGACACAGATGCTGTTCACTGCTAAGAGAATAAAAGGAGAATAAAAGGACTGCTGTTTTTCAGATACCTTATAGCTGCTTCAAATATGCTACGATTCTTTGACTCCTGTGAAAATGCATTTATGAGGCATGTCCTTTAAAAATATTAAAATAAAAATCAGAACCCACATCAGTGTCTTTAAGTTCTACTTTATGTGACTGTTCATTTGTTCCTCGCTGTAATTACACCCTAAAGCTGTGCTACATCAGCTTCAAGCCGGGGCATGATACAAAGCATGTACAGCTATTCTTCTGACTCAAACTGGGCCCGAGCCCAACTATAACATACTGTGCCGGGGAGGAGCTTTCAACAGAACACGCATTTAGGACTTATACAAATAAGTACACTTCAAGTACACACTTTCTGCATAAGATCCATCGAGCGCCAGCCTTCAGTCTCCACAAACTGATGCCCTCTCCTGCTACAGCTGTGAGGTTTCTCTGCTCTGTATGGTCCAGGGCTTGTCGGAGAGGTCACTAAGTTCATAACTCCGAGGATGGAGGGCACTTGTGTTGATCACTTGAGTGTGTGTGTGTGTTTTTTGTTTTTTGTTTTTTTACATGAAGACTGTGGGTTTTGTGGCTTAAGTCCTCGGGGCAGTTTGGCGTGGCTGTAGCACGACACATACTATACATATTAGTGTGGGCGCTGTGGGAAACACATACGCAGGTTTTGTTCTAGCTTGTCCCTAAACTCTGCTCTGCAGTCAGCAGAGCATAGTGAAAACAGCCTGGATAGGTGTGGCGATCAGGTTGGTTACACACCTGGAAACTTACACAAACAGAGATTTTATTTTTTTTCTTATCAGCTCAGAGCTCTTTGTGTCTCCTTGTCACCGTGTTTACGAGTGGCTCAATTTTCAACTGTGTGTGCGTCCAAAGAAAAATCACATTAATGCATGACTGCACTAATCAATGGCAGATTGCCTTGTACATGTAAAGCTATACATAAAGAACCATAAAATTTTCCAAAAGATTTAGTTCTTAAACAAAAAGGGGAACTGAATCTAGCTCCTTTGGTTTATTAGCAGGACACCAGATCCTTTCCAGCTTCACAGACACCGATTCCAACTTCGCTGACCTCCCCGGAGAGGTCAGAAAATGGGAAGATAGATATTTCCCAGGAGGATCAATAACACATCATTAATGTCCGATAGGTAAGTACTCCCTCCTTCTCTCTCTTCACCTCTCTGTTGAGCTCCAAATGTAAGAATCTAAAGCCGCAACAAACCGTGACAGCTTCGTCACCGCCCATCCGTCAGTACAACAAAACGGCGTTGTAACGACGAATGTATCAGCTGACAAGTACAACAAGCCGCTGCCCCGATGACAGACGTAGAGTAAACACATCATCACTGTGTTTTTACAGTAAACTGTTTGGGTTTGAGCCCAGCTGTCCAGCACACATCGCCATGCAGGTCTGAGCTGAAAATACTGCACACTCATGTGTATATGTGTGTGTGTGTGTGTGTGTGTGTGTGTGTGTGTGTAGGTGTGTTGCCTGCATGTGTTCCTATAAGTGTTTACATGTGACTTTGTGCTCAGATTACATACAGAACTGGATGCACAGACAATCATAGACTACAATCAGAGACAAAGAAAAGGATGAAAGTATAACAAAGCTTTAAGAAAAACAACTTGGCAAAGGATGAAATGTAACTTTCACCGAGTTATAAAGTAGAAGTCCAGCCAATGAAATGCATTCCTCTCTACTTCAGAGGAGCCAACACATGGATATAAAGGTTACAGAGGGAAAGGGGCGCCTGACTCCCCAGCTCACCTCCATTTCCTGGCCCAGAGAGAGAGAGAGAGGAGCAAGGAGGGAGCAACTGTATAATACAGTGTATCGCTGCTGTCATGTAAAGACTACACAAGGGCAGTTTTAGGACGACTGGGAGAATTGTGTTTTAAAGTCAGTTGAAAAAATGCATCGTCCTTAGAGTCTGCAGATCATAAAAAGATCAATGCAACTCTTTCAACAATGTAAAAATACACCATCATTAGCTTAAAACAAATGTTTCTCACTTGTTTTTGAAGTGACGGCAGGGATGCAGCGTGTGTCCAATAGCAAACTGACTGAAAGAACACCCACATATCAGAGCTGCAGTTTCCCATGACCTATTAGACATACAGTATGGTTAAGATATAGTAGAGCTATAGGGGTATATTTATAGTTTTTAATCTTTTTATAGCTGATCTATGGAGAAATCAGCAAAAGTGGACACACACTGCAAAAGACAGGAGCGGCTGTTTCCTCGGACTGAATGTGTTGAGTCATACAAGGATGTGGTGAAAATATAAGATCTCAATTAGACAGATAGGAACTGTTTGACTAGTTGCTCAATCCACTGACTATCTCAATTCATGTATCCTGCCAGGGAAACGTTGTCTAATAATGTCCACTGCAGTACAGCCACTGCTGTATGTTGTATGTTTCTGTCGGTAGAGCAAAATGTGAGCTGCAATCAGCAAGATTTTTATCAAATATTGTAGATATCCATGTGTCAGCCACAATGACAAAGTTAATGCTGCACTAAAAATAACACTGCATCCGCACTAACTGGATGTACATTCACATCACAGGACTCGGATGACGACATATTAGTCTCTAAATGTTTAGTGTGTTTACATTATAAAAGGCTGCATCACAGCCAGGGTGCTCCAGTCTCTGCATATTGCATCAACTTTCTGCTTTGTCACGTTACATGATTTCTGTGTATAAACAGGTATAAATGATGAAACTGTTCATTTTTTTTTTCTTATCAGTTCATATTTCTGTAATTTGGAACTTCACATGTTTGAAGCTGCCCAGTAAAGAGAACTTTCAAGATTCAAGAGGCCCAATTAAATGCACTTATTTGCCATCTTGCTGAGATAAGAGGATCAATGAGTCACGAGTCTAGCTTAGCTTAGCATAAAGACTGGAAACATAGGGAAACAGCTAGCCTGGCTCCGTCCAGTCAAAAATCTGCCCACCAGCACCTCTAAAGCAGCAGCTAGCTTGATGGGATTTACAGTATTACAGCACAAGTGTTTAATAAGATATTTTAAGTTGTTTTGTTTTTTTTCTCTTCAGAACACAACTTGATGTTACATAAGATGCTTGGATATGAGCCCTGACACAGAGCATACTGTGTCAGACCTGGTGGATTTGAAATGCCTGCAGGTGTTTCACTGAGCTACCTGATCTAATTTTACCCTTAAACTCAGTCCTTACCATAATTAAACCTTAACCACAGTGTTTGACCAAACTTAACCCGGCCTCTGTCAATGTGTGGAAAGACACACACACACACACACACACACACACACACACACACACACACACACACACACACACACACACACACACACACTCTCAAGACACTATACACAGCCTTCGTCAATGGATTCCACTTCTATACATACACTTATTGCCCAACAGGTCAAAAGGTGAAATTTGTACTTTGGCTAGAAAAGGTTAAATGAAGATTTTATTACTTTTGATGAAGGCAAAGATTAAGGGAGAGAAAAACCTAATTAGTTAGCGACCAAAGAGTCATTAAAAATGTATCATGGAATGAAAATCCTGGGTGTTACGAGGGCTCGTCTGAAGTGAAAAAGTTCGACTTGATTGTCAGTGTTGATCCAGTGTATCGCTGCTGCATGAATGTGTGTATGTGAAGTGGTTGCAGACACTGAGCAAACAAGTGGAATAACTAACAGGGGACAAAGTCTGAATGCAACTTCAAAAGGCACTCTATCTAATCTAGAACTCCACCATGGTACAAAAACACACAGATAATGGGGCACAGCGCCAGCCTGTAGGAGAGAACAGACTGTAACCATCTTGGATAGACTTGCACACAACTCCCCTGAATATGGGCCATTCTCTCCCATCCATAAACTATCTAACCAGAGCCTCCTGAATTGTCTTGCTCTATATTTAACAGGTTTTTCGTCCCCCATAAAACCTTTCTCCTGTTCTACTGTAAGACAATATCTTGGCTCTTTTAGACACTCTGTGAACAAGGTTAAAGATGTTGAACCGTTTGTTCAGTTGTACTGTTTTAGTCCATTCATGGTGGAAGGTTTTCATCCTGTTCACAGAAACAGCAGTTTCATGCTTTTGCACAAGACGGATTAAGATCCTTTGACACAGTCTTATCTGTAAAAAGCCCCACAATAAAAAAGCACGGTTCTTTACACAACAAACTAATGTGCAGCACTCCAGAGATCACCGAGAGTAACCAGGGTTATCAACTTCTGAGACACACGCAGTGCAGATAAACACATCGATCAGCTCACACTGCATCAATCTATCCTTTCATCTCCATCCACTCATCAACACTTTAATTAGATCCACGTTGCTATGTCTGTAAGTCTGAAATGGTCTAAATTTAGGTCTAATTTATCTTCACCTCTCCAGATAATGACTGATTTCTCTTTACTCATTTGAATCATGCGGTCTACTTTGGTTCTGCTCACCTCCATCCACAGCCGGGCCATGTGCAGGCGAAGGGCTTCTCCCCTGTGTGCCTCCTCAGGTGGGCTTTAAGGTGGCTGCTCTTGGTGTACATCTTATTACAGCCGGGAAAAGAGCACTTGTGCATTTTAATAAGGTCTGCTACTGCGTTCTTCTGGTACCTCTGACCTCCAGTGAGGACCCCTGCAGCCGAACCTCCACCCAACCCGCCTTCCCCGAGCCCAGTGGGTTTGGCGGCAATGGGCACCGGCGCAATCCGGACAAATTTGGATGAAGCGGTGCTTCCCATTTTACTTGAGCTACTAATGTTTGCTGGGGAAAGCAGCTGAGGCACCAAAGCAAAGGTCTGCCCCTGGATGTTGACCAGGAGCTGGGCAATTTTGATATCCGACGGGGCCTGTGTTGGCTGGGATGGGGTTTTCTGAGGTTGGGTTGGCTGGGTGACAGCATCTGATATGGCACTGGGGTTCGGTTCTTGTTTGATCTGTATGGGCTGGATTTGTAGGATGACAGGGACGCCTGAAGCGACACTGGTACCTTCTGATGAGGCAGGCGATGATCCACAGTCCTCCTGTTTAATCCCATCAACTCGACTAATAGGAGAATTAGAACTAGCTATGCAACTAGCATCCTCTGTTGATGTTGAGCTGTCCATGTCAGATGCACACGGTGAATGTTTGGTCTCTGTGTAGTTGGATAGAGGAGAATGAGCAACAGGAACAGTCTGATCTGAGTTATGTGGTACTGATACAAGTTCTCCTGCTAATGTCCTTGAGCCTTCCGCCTCAGCATCCTCTGATATCGGTGACATCGCCTCATCAATCCCCTCCTCTTCTTTCTCCATCGCCACAACCATGTTCTCCTCGAGGAACTCCTCTATCTCCTCCAGGGTGGGCTGAAAGAGGAGCGTCGCCGGGTCCTGCAGCTCGTCAAGGAAGACAGGGAACTCGTAACAGTCCTCTTTGGCCTGCTGCTGGAGGAGACTCAGCCGCTGCTCCCTCTTGGACTCCCAGGCCAGGCCCATGGGTAAAAGGGGGGCAGTGAGAGGCGAGGAGGAAGAAAAGGGTGGGGAAGAGAGGCATAGAGAGGAAGAAAGAGGAGAAGAAAGGGAGCTGCTGTTGCTGGCAATAGAGCTTAATGAAGTGCTGAGGGAGGTCTGTGAGAGCAGGAGGTCCAGCAGGCTGTCCTGACTCTCTCCTCCTGATGAAGAGCTACAGCTCCCGCTGCTCCTGCTGCTCCTGCTTTCGTAGCTGGAGCTGAAAACGTGCCGCGAGGTTGGCGATGAGGACTCAGGGCTGGAGCAGAGGGACGAACGAGGGCTGGAGGACTCACTGAGGTCGTCCTCAGAGAGTCGAGGCGAGGAGGAGACCATCACCCCTTGGTAGGGGTGGTGGTGGTGGTGGTGGTGGTGGTAGATGCATGCGTCGGTTACCATGATGCCTGGCGACACGCCACCATTGGCGTGGCGACAGAGGCAGTTGTAGTCAGACCCCGGGGAGCCGGTGTAATACAGGAAGGTCTCCTCACCAAGCGGCAAGTGATCCACCATTCCTGTGCGGATGGAGGCAGCTGACTCTGGTCTGCTCTGAAGATCAAGCTGAATGTTAATGAAAACCTCTGACTTCTTCCTGCAAAAGAAAAATGATCGTGTTTATCATTTATTACAATGAAAGTAATTTATCTTTAAATTGGAACACATGTCAGCCAAAACGACACTATTTTTTGTGTAAAACGACTGATTTTAATTAAATATTAATTAAAAGTTACTTCAGAATTAACAGGTTCTTGTACTTCCGTGCAGTTATGTAATTACCGACCCAATGCCAAAATCTGCAGTTGCAAAAATCTTGCATGACAGCACATTAACCTCCCAGTTTAAGACAGACTGACAGTGTTAATGTTTCACCACACAGTCCCTACAGTTTCTATGAAAATAAGTCAACCAACAGACTGACTGAAAGTTTTTTTTTTTTTTTTAACAATCATTTGGTCCCTTTGCACTACCTGCTGCTTTTGCAAAAGCTCTGCAGCTGATGGCACTTCAAATTCCACTTCCTTCACACGTGGTTGACTTTCCTTTTGAAGATTGTGTGTGTGTGTGTGTGTGTGTGTGTGTAGACACTGCAGCTGCTAGTTCAGTCTTCAAGCTGACCATGTGGAATCAGGGGTTCCCATTTCTCACCACTTCTAACATTAAAGCCATGTGGTTCTGCTGTCATTTAATGCCATCTTTCTACTCATGTCCCTCCTGTCGTCCTTATAACAACTCAGTCTGAGTCACTACAATGATCAATAATTTGTAAATAGCCTACACGGACAGGTATAAAGAGATTAGAATAAAGACACAAACTAAAAACTTCCTGCGGTGGAACAAGAGGCACAGTCACCACAGTCTGCCAGTGTAAGATCAGCAGATTTTGATGGGGTGATGAGTGAAGGATTCAGTGTTTATTTTTATCTATCTAGCAGCCAGCAGACAATGCACCATGTCTACACTGGACATGGATTAAAAAATGCTAGACATAATCAAATGGCCTTAAATGCAGTGGGTGGCTTATGGTGATTAAACATGACAATACAATCCATTTTAAAACCATAAAAGGCTACACGTGTATTGCATGAACACACACACACACACACACACACACACACACACACACACACACACACACACACACACACACACACACACACACAAAAAAAAAATACTGAAAACAAAATGATTGTGCGCCCTCTTCTGTAAAGCTGAGAAGCAGCGCTTTCCTCGGTGTGCTGAAGTCCAGGGACGTTCAGAGGTCCTGACACAGGCTCCAGGTTTTTATCAGGAAACTTAGTAAAGTAATAATCAAATTAAAAAAACTTAATTGAGTCATGCCATCACAATATCAAAAACACTTGTTCCCTAAATGTCTGTTGTTTCCAACCTTCAGTGCAGTTATGTAATTACAGATACATCGCCCAAATTCGACTCAGATACGGTTTTTTATGCGATAACATCATATGACATCCTGGGCTACCTCATGGAGAGAGAGGGAAAAAAAAAAAAAGTTTAGGAAGAGAGTTTGGGAACACCTCAGACTTGGCCAACTCCTAAGTCACTTGCCCTAATGTAACCCTGCCGCCCGTGAACCATCAGAGACGCTTTGACAGTGTGATGCGCTCCTGGTCTTCACCACGCTGCATGAATAACCAGTTATGGAGCTTAACTCGGGATTTGTGGCATGTTCTAGCCTGCGGGCTGCGACATAAAGTCAAAGTCACAGTAGTTCTGCATGATATAGATATCAACACAACTGCAGACATGACACATGGAGGGTTTTATAGGCTGAGGGAATTTTTACTGAGAGCGAGGCAGCAGCATGCATAAAGCATACATTGTCACTACAAGCACGCGTATGTATAGATATCAAATTTCTCTCCACTCACTTAAACCGACCCATGCTTTCATACTGTGCATGGCTCTGCTATTAAATCACACCAGCGTCCCTACTTCATGCACTTACCAGTAAATGTGAGGAATCCAAAATCCCGCTCCTGTGCGCTGAGAGCTCCTCTCCTGAAAGTAGCTGTCAGTGCGTAATAGCGCGTAATGGCAATATAACCCCACTACACGGTCTTTGCATAACTGTATACCTCCACTCTTTCTCTCTCTCTCTCTCTCTCTCTCTCTCTCTCTCTCTCTCTCTCTCCCTCTCTAACACACACACACACGCGCACACACACACACACTATCACTCTCTCTCTGCTGAGGACTGGTAGTTCGCTTAAGCGTCACATGAACGGAGCTGTGTATGTTAAAACCAGTAAAATGAGGGGGTCGGCTCATGAAGGCTCGCCTGCTCGGCACGTCGCAATTGGCTCACGGTGAAGGGAGGCCGGCCTCAGAGTCTAGCGTCAATGGAAAGAGGGAGTGTGTGTGTGTGCGCGCGTGTATGTGTGAGTGAGGGAAGGAGATAGGATGTTTACAACTTACACCTGAGCATAACATTTCTCTACCATACTGCTATAATAACAAATAATATATTTTTTTAGCTTTCATACAATATTACAGCAGAAATTAGTAATATATTGTATATGTACTTGTCATACATTATGGTGTTTTAAGCTGTTAAACTGTAACAGGATGAAATAAATAAGAGCACAAACATCAACATTTGGGTTCACAAGAGTCCTCTCTGATCCCTAGAAAGCACACTGAGCTTTTTGCCTGTTACACATGACCATGTCTGAATAAGTGGCTGAGTGACTGAGTGACTGAGGGAGCCATTGAGTAGGTAAGTGAGTGTGTTTACATGCTGCCTAATAACATCAGTAATAGAAGTTTTGCTTTCACTCCAGCTGAGCAGACCTCATATAAACACCTCTGCTAAGCTGAAGTAACTTTTACTGGCTCCAGCCTAATTTGATTTGCCTGCGTAGGCTAGATTACCTTTCAGTATGTTTGGATAAATGATTCACTTTCAGCCTGCTTGTAAACACCAGGAGTGTTTCAGTGTGTACTTATATACAGCACACAGTCACTGGCTATTATGCTGTGGATGCACAATGTCACACTGAGGAGGTGTGTTCTGCACGACTCCTATGGAAGCCTACTACTACTACTACTACTGCTACTGTTACTACTGCTATTAATATTGATATTCCTGTTGCTACTGCTACTAATACAACTGTACTCTTATGGCTATACTGCTACTACTTTACGCAATCATTACTAAGCCTACTGATGCTACTACTGCTGTATGTGACTGCTACAAATACTGCTACTGCTGTTTCAATACAACACTACCACACTGCTATTGCTTGTGCTACTGTTACTGCCACTACTTGTACAGTATGACTGCTGCTACGACAAGTACCACAAATACTAGGGTACTGCTAATATTGGTACTACTACAATTATTACTGCTACAACAATTAGCCTACTGCTATTGCTACTAGTTTTACAGCTAGTGGTGTGACCACTACCGCATCTATTATTACTAGTAGCCTATGATTAATACTACCAATACTCCTATGGCTAAACTGCTACTACTGTTAATGCTACCTCTATTAGGCCTATACTATTGGTGCTACTAATACAGCTACTTCTACTGTCACTGCTGCTACAGCTAACACTGCTACAAGCTACTACTACCACTACTGCTGCTGCTGCAACTATTAAGCTTCTACCATTACTACTAATACTGCTAGTACTACAATTACCGCTGCTCCTGCTGGTGCTACTTACACTACTACTATACTACTGTTACTGCGATTGCCACTGTTATTACTTCTGCTGGTGCAATTACCATAACTATTAATGGTACTACAACTGCTGCTAATGCTACTAAACCTGCTACTACTATTATAAGTAATATTGCTACTATGATTACCGCTACTAATGCTACATCTATAACATAGTACAATATTGTTAAAGCTGTATGTATTAATACATGTCTTTTCACTGAAGGAAAAACACAGGTGTAAATAATAAAATGAATGATGGCTAAATTCCATTTCACTGCTTCAGTTTCATGGTCCTGGTAATGCTGACTCACTGTCATGGTGTACTGGGACACTTGAAAAGAATGGAGCCATTGATTAATTTTGTTAGTAACACCTGTGCTTTTTCTGCTATGACAAGTCAAAATGTCCGCCATGGAAAAAAGACCTGCTTGTTTGATTCCTGCCGCTGCTGCTAATGCTCACACCTAACATGATTCTGTCAGAGATAACTGTAGCTGTTTTCTAAATGTTTTTGCTTTCCTCACAAATGTAATGGACCATGGCTCATTTAACAAAATCTCAGCCACTCTGACCTGAAATCAGACAGAGGTCCTGTCAGGTTGCTCGTATAGCCCAAGTCCTAAAAGAGAAGCGGGACTGCTGCAGCTCACTGTGTCCAGTCAACACGTCTCTGTTTTCTCACACAGATTACATCTTTGCTCATATCTATAGTCGGCTTGTTAAATACATTAGGAAGTCCTGGTATCTTGTTAGGATGGGCTTTACTAGAGTTATCTCTGTGATCACTTTTAGGTCCCAAGACATATTTTTAAGTGTAATTTGATGTTGTACTTGAGGAAATGCAGGGCTCTGATTACTCACGAGCACAAGTCCACAGAGGTTCTTTTCTCTGCCCCACAAACTAATTGGTTTCGGCTGCTCTATTCAAACACACAAACACCTACACATATGCATATTATGTAAGCCCCAGATGGACTTAATGGATCAAATTGATTTATTTCCCCTGGCAATGCTTGCGACTTGCCAAAAGTGAAATGGGGAAAATATGTGCTTCTTGAGTGCATTTTTCAAGTTTGTAACGATCACGGACAATACCCTCAACAAAGCTGCCATTCTCACCAAGAAGCACTGGAAGAGAGATATGGGTAAATACTTTATAGGCAGGATAAGTTTTTTTTTTTTATCCGTTTTGGGCACAAAAATAAAAATAAAAACATACATATAATTGTAAATGTGTGCAATTTTTTGCTTATAGTGGCAGTTGGATGTTGTGATTGCTGACCACAGATTTTAGATCATACTGTTTTTTTCACACCTCTTCTAAACTCTGGTATCTTGGGCAGAGTGTTTTAGCTGTAACCAGCTTTAGCCTCACCAGCTGACACAGACCCCCACAGCTTTAAAACCTGTCATGTAAACAGGAAGCTGCAGCAGTTCACTGGGTGATTGGAGTAAGTCTGTGGCCGAATTCACACTGCTGTGTCAGAGCTGATTATTTCCCCTCTCCTGACATGATACTCTTGACAGTGACACATACAATATAAACACCAATAAACTTGATTCAGTGATTTTCATGTTGTGACTGGGATATATCATTACACGGCTGCCACAAAAGTGGAAAAACCAGACAGTGAACTGTCATGATTTATTTTTCTCCGGAGATGTTAAAAATATTTTTCCAAGAAAAGTGTTTTTTGTGGGGGAGTAAATCTATTACAGGACACTTCACCCTTTGCCTAAAGTTTTTGTTTTTCTCAAGCACACACACACACACACACACACATACAGACAATAGCATTTATTTTCAGACACTCTCCTGAGACGTTCACAGTACCAGCGTGAAATATTTGTAAAAATGCAGATTGTTGATGGGAACAAAGATTCCCTCTGAGAGTTATGCAATGAGCTCTTAATAAAGCTGCGAAGAACCCCAACCCTTCCACCCCCCCTAAACCAATCATTACCACTGCCATCAACACAAACACCCCTCCTGTGTCTAATGCACTTCTTAGACAGCTTAGTTGGCTTTTAGTTACAGCGGCAAGTCTCATCCTGTTTAATGGATTAAGTGTCTTTGCCTTTTGCCCACATATACTGACTGACTCACATCCAAGGGTATAGAACCATTCACACAGAGCTACAGTGGACAGTGCAGCAAATAACCTTTTGTAGACTCTCTCTTTGTACACTTGTGTACTTTTGTACACTGACACTGACTCTTTGAGTTTAAATTTAAATCTGAGCCTATATTTCAGAAATGCCAAGAAATATCCATCCATCAGTTTTCTCCTAGTCTATCCAGGTCTAAGTTGCTGAAAGGTAGACCAGACATGCCTCTTCACATCCACATTCTCCAGCTCCTTCTGGGGGATCTCAAGGTGTTTTGAGACCACACTGGATTTAAAATCCCACCAGAGATTTCTGTCCTGGGGTTTCTCCAAATACGTTGTGCCTAAAACTACAAAGGGGGCATCCAAATTAGATGCCCAAACCACCTAAATTGACCCTGTCAAGCTTCCCATTCTCACACAGGACATATTAAATTTGAAATGATATCAGTGGTAAATTCCCCACTCAAATAAGTAAGTAAGTAAAAGTAACAATGGACCCTTGATTTGAGACAGAGCCTTCTTATTTCTGGATAGCTACCAATGATCTTGCAGGCTAAAATGGCAGCTGGCGCTAGCAGATTTCACAATCACTAGCTAACTAGCGTGTTTAACCGTGAGTTGGTTGAACACTTTGTCTCTGGCTGAATTATTTTGAAGTGAGAATCCTCAAAAAAAATCTATACAAAATAATGTAATTAGCTAAGGATATGGTCTTTGGAATCAGAAGTGATGCTTGTTTAATATTGTGGGTAATATGCTAATTAGCCAGGCCTGCTAACATTTGTACATCTCAAGTTTTGCTCTTGTTAATGTCAAAAAATGAACCTCTGCCAATCAATTTAGTTCTGCTCTTGGTATAAGCAACAAAAAACCCAGTGTCAGTCGAGCTCTCCTTTTTTTTTTTTTTAATCAGGATTTTATTTACTGAAAATAGCAAATATCTGCAATATCATGGGTGAATGTTACAGAAGTTTTTGGCTGTTGGGGTGAGATGGCAGTGGACGTAGACTGACGCAACACATGACACTTTGGTCAGAAGTGAGTGCAGTTATGTTTCAAGGTTGGAGAGTTAGACAGGTTAATGAACCATGACTTCGGACACAATGACGCACATGATACGTAACAGAGTTCATTCTTCCTCACCATATTTATTTAGAGGACGGTTTCATGTTTTTGACTGTTTTTGTCATCGCTGCTGTTTTAAAATAGGACAAAAGACAGAGAAACAGAAGAAAGAGGAGAGGATGGCCTAAATTGCTCACAATCCATATATCCTGCACTTG